TCCCCGCCCCCCACTTCCCCTCCTCCCTAGCCCCCGCCCCAGCCCGCTCACTGATGCCGACGACCATCTGCGTTATGGCGCCTGGGTTCGGCGGCATCCCCTGCTTCATGGGCCTCCTGGCCAGCAGGTAGACGTAGGCGCCCGCCCCCAAGAGCGCAGACCCAGAAAGCAAGCGACAGCTCCAGCAGTTTTTAAAAGCAGAGTCCTGTGCGAGGGAGGCCGGCGCGGCTGCTTTCGCAGGTGGGTTCGCGGGGGCAGCTGTGGATGGAGACCCGGGAAGCTCGTCATTCGCCGACCACGAGGACCCCATGTCAGACGGTGAACAAGCCGCCGAACCTTTGCTTTGAACTGACGTAAAACGCTGCCGGAAAGCAGTACGCTGGCGTAGAAGCCGCAGGAGGGCCTCTGGGAAATGTAGTTGCGGCGTGCTAGGAGGCTGGCGGAACAGCGCGGAGCTGCTTCTGCCGCAGAAGCTTTTGGAGCCTGTAAACTAGAAGTCTAAAAGCCCACGTTGCCTCAGCCCAGTATTTTAGAAACTGTCTTAGACTACATTCTGAAAGTCTAGATTTCAGTCTCCTTAGAGGAGAAATGTGGATCTTTAAGCTTCCTGACTAACACAAACTAAGGTCCTGACATGAGGTATAAGAATCAAAGACTACATTTCATACGTTCTTACCAAGGGCTTAACTATTGCAATTCTGTGCATTCCGCCGTTTCTCAACATGCTAGTTTTCTCTATGGCAAAACTGGCGCAGCTATGTTACAAACTATGGCACATCTGTAGTTACAAACCAGCCTCTTTAGATCAGTTCAGACTCAAAGTTTTCAAGTTATACATACTGTGAAAGAAATATGATCAAGATATTAAAAATGTGTTTGAATTACCTGGATACTTTCAATCTCTCCTCATTTATTAAAGATGCGCTCTCAATGTTGTCATATTCATGATTTTGGTTCTCTTCAAGAGAAAATTCGGTGCAAACTAAAGTTAATGACATGAGGTGTAAGATTGCTTTCACAGTTTTGCATTTTTATCATCCTCTCAATGCATTTGAAAGGACCGAGGAGATGGCTCTGTGGTTAAAGGGCTTGGAGGGCAGAGAGGAAATGTAAGACAAGTTCAGATGCCCAGAGCCCACATAATGCTGGGTGGGCATGACAGCACATCTATAATTTTATCAATCAGATGAAGGTGAACCCCAGAAGTTTTCTAGCTAAACTAGCCACACTTAGAGGTCTGGATTCAGCTGAGAGCCCTTGCCTTAAAGACCTGAGATGGAAAGCAATTGAGGGAGACTCTCGACACCAATCTCAGGCCTCCACATTCACTTGAACCCACATAAAAATCTGCACCCACACGTGTGAACACACATACATGCATACCACACATACACACACACAAATGATTGTTTCATTCTGATTGCATCTTTGCAAGTCAACAGATTTCACCACTCCTGTCTCAGCCCCCTTTGCCTTTTCTCTGCTTACAATTGGCTATACGTTTCTTGTCCTAGTTGATCTCACACGCTATTAGTAAAAAATAAATTCTTAAGTAGCAGTTCCCTCTGAAATGACACCTTCCAACCTGAAGGGAGGATTATAAAGACTCAGGAAGTAAACAAAATATGCAAGGCTCAGGAAACACACGGTCATTTCCTGAAACAACATTTACAATGCCAGCCCTAAGGTTATATATGCAGTAAAAATTGTGTGGGAGAGGAGACTGTGACCCATAGAGTTGGCCTACTGTGGAGGGGCTCAAAACAGCTTGACCACACACAGCTGCCATGACCAGCTTAGGGATGCAGACACAGCTGTGACAGACTTACTGGCAGGCAGCACTCAGATCCATGAAAAGCTAGAAGCTGACACTACCCAGGGATTCACCCAGGGATGAGGAAGTACCTAACATCCAAACATTCTAACCATTAGATAAGGTGGCCAGATGTCCTTGAGTCTAGTGCTCACCTATTTTTGTTTTACAGATACCCCTAGACAATTGTCAGCCAATCAGGGTCCTGAACCCTGGAAATCCCCTCACCCCAACCTCTGCTATGATGAAAACCCTACCCTGTCTGGGCTCAGGGCTCTCTGCTCTCACCAATGCATGGGACAGACAGATCAATCCCCAGAGCTTGAGAACTTGAAAATAAAGGCTCTTTGCTTTTACTTGAGGGGTTTGGTTTCCATGGTGGTCTTTTGGGGGTCCCCAAGATCTGAGCATAACACCTACGAATTAAGCAAAGAGTTCCAGAGGCACAGCTTTTTTAAATGGTCCCATACTGGGTGCACCTTTCAGCAATACAGTTGCCTTAGAGTCACCCACACTTCTGGAAGCAACTCAGTAAATTTACTGGTTCACTAAGCTTAGAGTCATTTCAGTACTAGTGGTTTGTCCATCAGTGCTTTGTCTGGATGAATACATTTTTGTTCTTATCTCCCAGGAAAAGTCACATGAGAAAAATGCATTTTAGACTTCAGGTGCTTTCTCTTAGAGAAAATGGGTAAAAATAGAGCAACAGATTTAAAATGATTTTCTCATTCTGATTAGCATTTAAAATGTATGTGTTGAAAAGGAATTTACTACTTTGCTTTCTAAAATGAAATGTGATGTTTAAAAAGACTGAAAATGGAAAAAAAAATAAAGTCATGGTATGTTTCTGCCAATGCAAAAGGCCAGATCAGACCAGATTGAAAACAGATAAATATGTGAGCATGGCTCCTGGGTTGATTCACCAGTCCCAAAGGTCAGGGCCAGAGAAGTTGCACACCCAAACTAAGGCAGGGAGGTTTTATAGACCTTAAGGGAGGGTTGATGGTGTGCCAGCCAGGAATGGAACTGTGCCCAAGTATGGTCAAAAGCTAGATCACTTGGATGCCTTTCCTTTGTTCAGTTTTTCAGTGTGGGTGGGCTTGGGGAAGTAAGGTAGATGGGGTTTTCCAGCTTATGAAAGGGGGAGTAGGGGTTCCAACTGAACAATATGGATTAGATCAAAACAAAATTGTGAGAAAACTGGGCTGACTGGCTGTTAAATTTAAAAGACTCCCTCTATTATAAGATAAATGTGTATTTGTGTGTGTGTGTGTGTGTGTAGATATGCATATATGCATATTTTCTGTACATAGATATCTAGATATATATTTGTTCATATATCTGTGTATTATATCATAGAAAAATAAATATTCACAAATTTTGGTTCTATACCTTTGTGCTGCATATATCTCTGTGGCAGCCATGAAACACAGACTATTTCTTATGTTCACTCTATCTCAGATTTCCTTATGTGTAAAAATGAGTTTGGAACCAAGTGCTAACTTTCCTGACTTAAAAATACTATTGTTAAGAATCTCGTGTCTATTAACATCCTGCTAAATAACTTACCAGGTGATTGTAGCTAGAGTTTTCCTGCTTTGCCCACAGTCAGGACAAGTCTTTGTCACCCGCCAGTCCCACAGCCTCTCAGACCCAACCAAGTAAACACACAGAGACTTATATTGCTTACAACCTGTATGGCCGTGGCAGGCCTCTTGCTGACTGTTCTTATAGCTTAAATTAATCCATTTCCATAAATCTATACCTTGCCACATGGCTCGTGGCTTACCAGCATCTTCACATGTGATTGACCTGGCAGCAGCTGGCAGTGACTCCTTCTGCCTTCCTGTTCTTTCTTTTCTCCTCTCTATTAGTCCTGCCTATGCTTCCTGCCTAGCCACTGGCCAATCAGTATTTTATTTATTGACCAATCAGAGCAACACATTTGCCATACAGAACATCCCACAGCAGGTGATCTAACAGAATTTCAGTTAGAAATTCATGATGAAATTCATGATTGGCGCTGCTACTTTTCACTGTGTCTTTTTAGAGTACATGTAATTTCTTTTTCACATGGCAATGACTTACAAATGTTTTGATTATACATTCTTAAGTAAAAAAAGATACATACTAGCATTATGCATTGTTATTTATACATTCTATGTAAATATGCTAATTTATAAGTATAAAGCAAGTAATAGAAATAGAAATTTCTGTATCTTATTACAATACATTGGCTTTTGCATAGTGTATAATTTGAAATGACTTTATTCATATTTTATCTTCAATGTTAGCTTTTGTAGTACACTCATTGGAGAACACATCTTTAATTCTCTGCAGTAATGCTATCAAATGGGTTTCTTTTTATGATTTCACACAGAGAATTAGTCTTTCCTGGGGATGAGCCTCCTACATGGTTCTCCACTACCAAGTGGTCAGCCCTAAAAGCAAATACATGCAAGCCACACTAAATGGACTAAGTAACCCTTATGTACTTTTACATTTTCTTGTGTGCATTAGTGTGTGTGTGTGTGTGTGTGTGTGTGTGTGTGTGTGTGTGTGTGTGTGTGTGTCACAATAAAGAGAGGCCATGATTTAGGGAGGAAGCAGGGTGGGTGGCATGAGAGAAGTTGGGGAAAGAAGAGGGAAGGGGAATTATGTAAATATTTTTCACATGTATGAAAATTTAAGAAATTAATGAAAAAATGAGCAAAGGAGTCATGTGCACATTATTCTATTGAAAAATATCTATTATGCTAAATAACCCTTAATATAATGAAAAAATAGGCTGTAACACACATTCAAACTCCCCAGGAACAAAGAAAATTGTTTAATCCATTTATTTAAGGTACTTTTCAATGTGATTGATTCAAGTGAATGATTTTAAATATTTTTAGGGGTTGTTTTACTCTGATATTTTTCTATAATTTAATAGTGATTTCTGCAGAACCATGTCTTAAAACTGCACACAGAACATGTTGAAATGAGATGGACCAATATAATTTTGACTGGAAATTGTTGGAAGTGTAAAGATACTTTTTGAGAGAAATGAAGCATTAGGGCTTGAGGAAAGGGCCAGAGACTGATGGAAGCATGTGGGGCTGTTGCTAAAGGAGAGGTGTGTTTACTGAGAAAAAGGAAAGGGGAATTGAAGGGTAATTTTTACCTCAGTTTTTTCATTACATTCATTTATTTTGCTAAGCTTGATCACTGTATTTCATTTGGTGCTTATGGTTCACAGAACCATGTGGCTTTTCCTATTAATAAATGTAAGAAGTTAAAATGTATTATAAAGTTCCTATTCTATAGTGCCCTTCACAGACCTGTGCACTTGCTACCCAGTTCCTCTACTACCTACGAAGCAGGGTTGCAAGTGTCTTGTATATCATTGTAGGGATATTTGGCATATACATACAATTAAACTCTCCTATAATTTTAAGGGCCATTGTACATTGATCAGCATTGGAAGAAGTTCACCAAAAATGTATCACTTATCCCTATACCAGTATGAGGATGTGCTGTGCTACATTTAATTGACCCCACAGTG